TTTCCGTAATGAATTACATATTTATCTTTATTATTTAAATTTGGGACTAGTTTATTCTCATTAATATTGCCTGCACAAATGTTTTCTGGACATAAAGGAAAGTCCGAATGTAAATCATGAAGTTCATCTGGATATTCCAAATCAAGTTCTAAAATAAAACCGAAGTCCGATGTCTCAGACACATTAAATTCTGTATTCGGATTTACCCATTCGAATCCACCAGTAGGAAGACATTGAGACATAGCCCAACCATATAAATTGTTGGCATCAAAATATATGATATATGAATTTGGTTTCCCTGCATCATAATCCCCCATGTATTTGTTATTAGCTCTAGCATAACGATTACTACATTGAGATACACCACCCCTGATACCTGATCTGATAAATGCAATTTTCTCATAATCTGTTAAAAGTTCTAATTCTATTTTTGTATATTTTAACATTGCATCCCAACTTAAACCGGGTGCTGTGTAATAATGGGCAGGGTCTAAATCATAAGTATTAATACATAACTTTCTAAAGTTTTCAAATACATCGGATAAAAGTAAAACGTCTGTTTTTAAATACAGGTTTGAATAATCTAGCATATTACAACACCCAAAGTATTCCCAAACATCTACAGCATGATTGTAATCATCATTTGAAATATGGGAATCTGTGAGCGAGCTATAAAATTTTTTTTGTTCAGGGAGCGATGTTAGGCTTAAATTATCATAATTAGTCATAAGTTTATATGGATAAACGCCTTTTCGTTTTAAACGAAAGAAATCTTCATCATTAGGATAATTTCTACGTAATTCTCGAAATTGATCATTACTGAGATTTTTCGCAAATCTTCTAATTTACATGATAAAAACTTAAATGAATCTATGAATCTCAATATAATTTCGTGGTTATTCATTTTAAATTTTTTGGAAAAGGATATATATTTTTCTTTATTTTGAGGGATAACTTCGACTTCACCATCACAAAAGTTTAACGCGTGAACAATAAAATGAGCATCATAGTGACTAAGGTTGTGTAAAAATATTGGTATATAACGAGGTGTTCTGAACTTCGAGCTACATGATTCATTAGCAACACCTATAAAACTACCGGTGTATGAATCAAAATCATAAAAATGTTCTGCTAACTCTGTTTCACAAATATGACAAATGGTTGCATTTGAAATTTGGTTTTTGTCTTCATTTGTTAGTGGAAGTGGAGGATATTTTTGAAGTCTATTTATTTATTTTAGATTGTTTGATAAACTTTCCATAAACACTTGTGCACAGTTGGGTCCGCAATATGTTACATATTTTGATAATTTATCATCATATGAACATTTTATATAATAACCAAAACTATGTACTTCATGTTTCTGAATATTGTGTGTGAAAGGTTTGGAAGGATCGTTAGAACATGATTCTATTGGTTTTAAAAATGCTTCAAAATCAGCATAAACTACGAATGGTATCTTTAACTTTTTTTCATAACTATCAAATTTAATTTTATCATTTGAAATGGGTTGACCAAACCAATTCTTTTTTTTTTAAAGTTTCACTGTTTGGTAATTCTGTACAAATGTGGGTACAATCGTATTGTTCATGGTTATTTAACCTCTCCTGAGATGGAAAATGAAGTATACATGCTTCGCAAATGTACATGATGTGACCGTCTTTTGAAATTTGTTTACTAACTAACCGCGATAAATTTTTTATGTAACAATAATGATTTTTTGTATCCTTGGAAAAAAATAATAAATTGATATGTCTATCTTTACGACACTTTGTTAAAAATAATGGCCCTACTATAGAATTACGTCGTTTTTCTTTATTATATTCTAACTCAAAAACATTAATACTAATATCATTTAATTTCTCTACTTTAGCTATGTCAGAAATTTTAACTGGAAAGGAAATACCATCAAATTTAAGTTTATTTGCATGTTTAACGTACGATGATACCCGATCCGCGTTTTTGTTTATGGGATATAACGCCGAGAGTAACGCCCATTTGAAACAAAAATAATCCTTGCTTTTTACATTTATAACAGCCTTTTTTAATTTTATGTCACGAGGAAGATCTATGTATGAAGTACCGCGTAGGAGGTTAAATTTATTAACATTCATGTCTATAGATTTTATGTTTTTTAGACTCCATCCACTATCTTTTTTTTTCAAATGCACTAATTTTAGTAGTAATTGTATTATACTTTACTAAAATTAAAAAGATGAAAAAAATATTTAAGTCATCTCCTTGACAAATAATATAGTTAAGCGTTTGAAAATCGAACGTATTATGAATATCTTTAGTTTGTTGAACAAAATCAGCATGCAATATGAAGTTTACTTTAAAAATTATGTGTTGATGAATACACTCTTGTATTAAAAATAAATTATCATCTTTAATAGAATTTAAAAATAGTTCAGGAGTTTCAAAATTTACTAATGTCGAACTATCTACTCTACTCTTGATTTTATAAGTTAAAATCCTATTTCCAAAAGCAGATTAAATAACACTAACGTTTGATAAAGAATTATGTGAATTTAAAAGATTATTTTTGTGAACATTACTTTTAAAATAATTAGCTAAATACAGTTTCTTGATAAATATATGACACGTTAGACATTCCACTTGATCATCGTTACTGATACTGTTCCCTGCAGAGGTGGGCGCTTCTGCTTCCTTTGTTGGTTTTTTGATGATCTTGGGTTCTTTGCTGCTCGTTCGCTTCGTTCCTCTTCCAAGTTGATTGTGGTTGATTACTAAAATGTTTAAATTTATTAAAAACTGTATAAGACAATGTGTAAATTATGATCGAAATGAATGTTTATTTTACTTACTTAAACTGTGCTTCAACCATCGCACAGTGATTATACAACTCATCATCATACGATGAATCGAACAGTTGATCCTTCTCCATTTCATCACAAACTTTAGACAACTCCTGATTTAATTCGCTGTTGAATAGTTCCGTATTCTCTTCCATGGTTGTGGAGAAGAAAGCACTGGTGCACACTTCACTGTTGGTAGACCAACTGATACCCAAATTTCAAATAATGTCCGATATTTATAGTCTAGCAAAGGATTAGAAATAGAATATAATGAGTACACAGAAGTAATTTAAGTAAACAGAATCACATTCACTAATGATCAGCTAATGACTGTCATTGTTAAAAAAGTATTTTTTAACTTTTTCACTTTCTGCTATTGTCTTTGTAATATTGTATACGAGGGCGTTTGTGTTGTCGTAGATGCTATCCTTATTAGTCTTTACGTAATATTTAATCCTCGTGGAAGCATTTTTCCAATGATCAGTAGTAGGAATCTTGGATAGCTTCTTCATATCGTACATTTCAATTTTGATGAGATACTTCGCTTGGTCTCCGTCGTCAGAATTAGTAGAAATGTATGATACACCATCTCTAGCGGCTCGTGCTACGGTAGATGATAACAGCTTCCTCTTTTTTATTTTTTATTCAGCTTCAAAAAAATTATCAATCGATTGCGATTTTCTTTTTCCACCATCGCATGTGTTATTATTAATGACAATGTCATCACTCTCTTCTTGAGGGGAGAGTGGCGAGTAGTAATACTGTTTATAGGTATTTTCATCGAAACTCAATGATTTCTGCAACAACACAGTTATCATGTTAATATCAATTTGTTAACACTTAATCATAAAAGTTAAAAAAGTTAAAGTTACAGCCTATTAAAGTCCACTGCTGAACATAGGCCCCCCTCTCATTTCTGAGAGGGTTTTAGGGCTAGGAAATGTTTGCTGCGCTGTCTCAATGCGTGTTGGCAAACTTCACATGCAATCGAAATTTTCTCAGACATGCAGGTTTCCTCACGATGTTTTCCTTCACCGCTGAGCACGTGGTAAATCAGCACTTAAAATTGCAATTAACAATTTAATTGGTGCCGGCGGGGATCGAACCCGGGTCGCATACTGTGAAATTTACATTTTGCGCTAACCATCTGAGCTACCATGGCTTAATCATATACACACACAATATTTAAATATAATTTGTTAACACTAAATCATACACACGTAAGAAAATAACAGAAAGAAAAGTAAGTTTGTCAATAGAATAAACACTTACATCCATGGCCTTTGATGCATTGAAGTAACACAAATGTAGTATTGATAGATCCACTGCGGTCAAACGACTATACACTAACTCAATGACTGCAGTTGCTTGGTCTTATATAGTACCAGTAAGTGATAATTCTAATCTAAAGAATTTCTGCAGTGGAATTGATAATAACTTTATGCGTCAACAAGCTTATCTCACATTCTGTTGCTTATCTCAACATTCCTGCTGCGATGTGTGCGAAAGCGTTCCCGTGGCCCTGCCAAAATGCGACGAAAGTGGAACACTCCCAAAGTTGCCGCTCAAAACCGCAAAACTCCGGATATCAGCTACAAGAAGAGAGCTTTCAACCAGGCCGCCAAGTCCTTCAGAAAAGCGTTACGGAAAGCTAGTCTCAACCGCATTAAGGAGTCTAGACATGATAATGGTGACGATGGTATACAGCTATAGTATTCCTAAGATGTCTCCTATGCTGTGCTGACACGCTTGTTCCGCCTCTCATTTCGGACTGGTATAGTACCAAAATCCTAGAAGCTGGCCAACGCCCAACCTGTTCCCAAAAAAGGTAGCCGTTCCTGCCATTTATCGGTCATTCTCAATTACCTCCATACTCTGCAAGATTATAGAGCGTATATTGAACGCCCGCCTTATGACATACTTAGAACATAATGAACTTCTCAGTGACCGCCAGTACGGGTTTCGCAGCAAGCACGAATTTTCAATACAATATGAAAAAAAATTCTAGTGAAGTTTTTGTAGGATCGCATTACTAAAAGTAGCCTTTACATCTGAATTTGCAAATCTACAAAGACTTACGTAACAACCCAATAAAACAAATGAGAATAGTTTTTATGTTTGTATACATTTTCTATTGTTTTGCTTTAAACAGTAATAAATAATCCGCATTATAATTCACAGGTGAATGCATCGCGTACGGTTATGGTTACATGGAGTCTAAAGCAGAAATATTTTCTGATCAACTAAAAGCTGCAAGAATGAAAATAATTTCGCTAGATAAATGCATTGATATCTTAGGCTTACATGTAGCTCCTAGGTACGACAGCGGAATGTTATGTGCGCTTGGAGATGGTGTAGACACTTGCCAGGTATATAAAGACTTTAATTAAATCTTCCCTCATTTAGATGTGTGCGAGAAAATCAAAGATTCTCTAAGTGTAAAATATGTATCATCTGAATTCCTAATTAAAATCATAAAGACAACTATCGAGTATCTCTTTTGTAAACGTTCCGCGGCCGATTCTGTGTCTATATGTAGCCGGGCTAGGAGAAAGCGCTGTTTTTCTTTATATTTTTAATGAATTATATCACTCTGCTCTGTAAGCAATTTGTAGTTATAGTTCTTTAAATATGGCTTGATTAGAATGACAGCTCTCATTCTGATGTGACTAATGCTTTGAACATTAAATCGATATATCAACAAAATATTCATAAATATTAATAAAAAAATATGCACCCAATACAAAATTTTAACTAAGTATTTAAACATTGGGACTCATTTTGGCCTAATAAAAAAAAATAAAAAATAGCAATAATAAATTTATTGACACAAGGGTGTACGTCCTAAGTCACAATCATCATCATCAGAATCAGATTCACTGGAACAATCTTCGAGACTAATTATTAATTCCTGATCACACAAATAATCAAAGCGGCCACTTTGTTGCCAATCTTCTCGATAATTTCTTCGCGTTTTATCGACCACCTTCTTGCAATCCTTTGATGTCACATAAATCTTAAGCTTAGCCGTGAACGGTGGGTTGGTGTTGTGTCCTGCTGCATGACCTAAAATAAAACAATAAGTTATTTTTTTAAATTAGTGATACACTAATTAATCAACTTCAGTTAAATATTAAATACATTTGACATGCGCCCAAATCAATTCTATTGCGTTATTCTGGCAAGGATACGGTGACAGGCAGATAACGGTATGTCCCTTTTCTTTTGCCATCTCATCCAAAACTTATATTGGCGTTTGGGGCTTGTGTATTCCCACTAAACGTAATAGTTCTTTTTTCAATGTAGTGCCTTCGGCTTGTACTCCATTGGTTTGCAACCACGAAATTATTTCATTCTTCCGGTTATTCGCTGTCGGAGGCCTATTTTTTTGACTTGAAAGATAGGATGCATTATCCATTAGTGTCACTTGGGGTTCATCTAAATTATTTAGAAGTTTTATAAACCATTCTTCGATTTTTTTTCAAAATTCATCTCTTCGTGGAACTTCGTCGTCTTGATAGACTTGAATGCCAGTAAGCAATTTGGTACAAATCCAGACGAGGTACCAGCATGGTAAATTATTAATCTTTGAAGTCGAGCAAAAAAAGCTGCACGGCCGTACTATCCTTTTCTCGAAGCAATTCAGGCCATTTTCGACCCCCTTATAACTTCGTTGTTGATAAAACTAGAAGCCTGAATTTTCAGTAACCAAGCAGGCATTGTATAAATACGGTATAATATTTCAAATTTTATCCAATTTGAACCAGTTTATGAATTATAACTAGTCAAAGTTTCTTAATTTTGTCACTCACTGACTGACTGACCGATCATCAAAACTCTAAGGCACTTCTAATAGACATAGAAGCTTCAAATTTAGAATACAGCTAGTGTTTAGTGTACAAATCAAGGAAAAACTATATTTTGCAATTTCGGTCCAGTTTTCTATATACACCAATTGCATAAATAACTTTATAATCCTATATAAATATACAGGATTACAAAGTTACATTTGCAGTGAACGAATCAGTGTACCTGTATATGTACTTATAATATAATATAATAATAGGTGTAGATAGGTACTTTGTCAGTATTTAAGAAGCAGAAGGTATCGGAAAAGAAAAAAAGTAGAACTATCTATAAAAAGAAATGAGATGCCATCAAAACATAACTTTAAAAAAAAACAAGCCTCTCAACTCCTCAGTTCTTCTAGGTACCGTAAAAAGTTGTGAGATCCATATAATACCAAGTGGTTAATTTATTAAATCCCTAATTAAGGGTCCTTCTGTCTCAAGTTATTCAGTAATTAGCTAACCTAACAACATCTTATTGTGACCATATCAATATCAAAAATCTTTTATGCTTTAAATAACTAGATTGGCTTGGCAATCACATCAATAGATGTGTCTATGGAACGAAAAAATGGCAACAACATTGTAAAAGAAAGAGGGTGAGAATAAAATAACTATCTTATTTCGTACCATGTTAAACGTCATATGTATAAAGAGTTCAGCTATAAGAATTTTGTTAATTTTTAAAGACTCTCTCTATGCCAGTAATTACTCTGAGTTCAGTTACAATAGTACTTAAAATTACTACATACAACAAATTTGAAGTAACCCTACCTGTAATTAACATATAATTATTTATAACAATAATTCGAATCGCAATAAATTTAACATAATATTCTAAAATCAATCAATAAAACAATGAAACAAACTAATTGACTGCAATACTATCTATGTCAGTCAAGTCCTATGAAAAGAAGACATTCCTATAAACATTCATTTACAGGGTGACTCCGGAGGACCTATTATGTGTGAAGATAAACTACAAGGTATTACCAGTTATGGAATGAGTTGTGGGATACCAAATGTACCTAGTGTATATACCAGTATTGGAATTCATTTGCCGTGGATTCATAACACCATAATATATATTTCCAATACATAAAAACTTTTTATTTATTGGAAATGAATAGAAAAATATAATCTAAAAGGTTTTAAAATAGTTATTGTTATACACATTTAAATTTATTTTATATTGTAATGGGAGTATTACGAGATATACCACGTACGAAATAAATTAATATTAATAAAAATAAATATTTGTAAGTCTATAAATATCAGGAAGACATAAAGTCGTAGAGTCAGTAATCTATGGTCGTAGCTACGAGACGCACATCGTCTCTAGATTTACGTTAAATGAATACCCCTATCGCTCGGCTACCAATCTAATCAGATCGTACAATACCTACCTTACGCCCGCTCTAGTACGGGGCTAATTAGATCAGATAATATCAGAAGTACTGCCTTATGAAAAAACTACTTTTTCCTTTAAAACAAAACCAAAGACAATATGCAATAGATAATAGTATCAAAGACAAAGATATGCTCTTTTATTTTAAACCATAACCTGGCAATGTTTCTTAGAAAAAAAAAAAGAAATCACTCTAAACTTTCGGCGTTCCACGTGCCGTTTTGATAAATGTGCTCCGTCTTTTTTATAGAATTTTATATTTGTGTCTGGACTAAAAACGAAAGTATTATACTTTTTTTATATTCCTTGTAATATAGTGAACACATATATATATAATTTGTGGTATAAAAAGTGAAAAGTAAATTGCCAAAAGTGCTTCAAAATCTGGAAGGCCAATTATGGCGGCTGGGTCATAAATGTGGTATTTTTCACATTCTCATTTATTTTTAGTGTAAAATGTAAGTAAAAATAGTTTTCTTACATATTTCAAATAACTTGACGTTGTATTTATTTCAAATTCACACAAAACTATTTTAGAAATATTGTTCTAAATGTCACACAGATAAAATATTAATATTTAATTTTTTTAATTTCTTTATATTTTATATTTTGGTATGAGTAACGAATGGAAACACATAAAACATAAAAATATACATATTTCCAAACAATTTGATATAAATTTCTCCAAAAACAAAAGTGTAGAATTCAAATTAGTAGTAATTTTGTCACTAAAATTGAAGTATATATCACTATACAGCTATACAGGGTAATTTACGTATTTTATTACAATTTCTAGCAACCAAAAATAATTTTATTCGATAGTTTATACATTCAACAAGAAATCCTGTAAGTTTTATCCATAAATATTGGCTCAAAGTGAAAATATAGCAAAATTTGCAATATAGCAAAAAATTTGCTAATTTGCAAATTTTCCCGCCATTACGGTCCCGAGCGAACGGGAGTATAACATGTCGCGCGCTGTCAGAGCGAAGGGGATACAGACAAATATGTGAACGCGTCGTACTCGTCCACGAATAACTGCGAGTTCATCTGATAATCTAAACGTCTTACGAGTAAGTATGGCACGAACGTAATTAAAAGAAGGGAGAAATAATACAATTTCTTAAGTACTTAAATCCTAATTAAAAGTACACGGAATTGAAATAATTATATTTAAAATAATAGTGTTTTAAAAAATTAAAAGTTCCCAAAAAAAGCTATGTTATCGATTTCAGTCAAAAATGTTAGATACATACTTTTATAGAAAACAAAGTAAATCAGGTGTATTGAAAAAAGACTCGCTGCTGCCGCGATAAATCTAAATAATTACTATTTGATTTCTGTTTTCATTTATGTAAAAATTATGGTATTTCCTAAATGAAAATTTACACCGAAAAAATCTTTCGATTAGCTTTTAATTTCTCATAAAAAATTATAATGTAACAAAATTATTTGTTTGATTCACATCAAAGTTTGATATCTTCTTTTCAGAGCATTTAAATAAAATCTTGTTTAGAAAACACGTTTTTTATAATTTAGTTGTTTATTTTTTAGTTTTCGCTGGTCTTGGTTCTAAATCTGTTCATTTCAATTAATGCGCTATTTTTACACGGTCCCTTACCTGTTAATTTATTTCAATCTAGTTCTTCAATAAACTTTTTTTCCTTCCAGTATCCTTTTATTCCTTCTAGTAACTTGACCCTACTTAAAGTCACATATGTTGGGCCAGCAGCGAAGAGCTTTACGCCTAAATATAAAACGGCGGGGTCGATCTACCCTGCATTAAGTGTATTGTGCAACTCCAGCATAATACAACTTTCTTCGTTAAGCAGTGCCGTGACTATAGTTTGCTGGAAATTGCACAGACTTTTGTTGAATAATGTGTGTCAATTATAGTATTTGTTGGAATTGTTTGCCACCCACTCTGAAGCAGGCCCTACACCTACGAATAAGTACTCTCCTAAGCGGCTGCTTGGACACGACTACGTAAGTCTTCCAAGGAACGGATTAACTTTCGGTAAACTTCTTCCTTGATCCAAAAACAACGTGTAAGTAACTTTATATATGGACTGTGAATGTGATAAAATATATCGATAAAAATTCTATACCCATTCATTAGAAGAAAACTATCAGAATAGGTCGTAGCTCACAAATTAGCAAATTTTTTTATAGTTTATGTCATTTTGTTATCATTGTTTGTGATGACAAGTTGGACTGAATAAGACATAACGTGCGAAAAACGCATATCGCAACGTATTTTTTTGCAGTCTTTACCGGCGGTTGTGAGTAATGGTCGTTAATATAGCGCATAGCGCCATATTATAGCGCGCTATCTCTTCATAACGCATAACGCGTGTTATGTAAGTAGTCTCCATGACGCTATGACGCTATGACGCTTTGGCGCTATTCATATCAAGCGGCAATTAGTTCTAGCAGCAGCGCTGTCGGGAGTAGACGTGTGTACGTACATTTTAATCTAGCAGCACGCTTATTCATAGCGCGCGAACTAATTTAGTGTTAGACGTTATTTAGTTAGTGTGTACTGTATATTTATAAGTGGTCGAAGGACACAGTTGTCTGCTACAAAAGAGGCCTAACTAATGTTTTTAAATGTAAATAAAATATAGATACAAAAGTGTATATATAATAGTGTTTGTAAATAGTTGATTTTTGTATATACAATCAATAACTTTTAAATACACCTTTAATTGATTTATAATTTATATTAAGGTTAAAATAACGTTTACATCAATAATAATAAAAAATGGTCAATTTTATTTTGTTTTAAAACATACACGCCTTAAAATATTTTTAGGGTTACAGAAAGTCGTAAGAAAAGTATGAAAGAGCGTTCATTTATTTTTCTTTACCACTTAATTTTATTTTAATCTAAAATGCGACTTATTACGAAACAATATTCTTATAAAGCACGCGGTCTATCCAATGAACGACATGTAATGTAGCGTGCTCCGAGATATAGCGTACTGCTAAACTTAACGCGCTTGCCGGCCTCCTACACACTTTTTTATTAATAGCGCGCTATAACATAGCGTATTTAATAGCGCGCTAGAAATTTCTAGTTTATAGTCTGTAGCGTGCTATTGATTTATAGTCGTTTTGACGTAGACAGAGAAACTTATAGACAAATTGACGCCTTCTTTCGCATTCACACACGAAAAAGATACATTTATGCATACGTCTTGTATAGAAATGAGACAGAGCAGTGTGATTGTTTGTTCCTTTCTCCGTGCCGGTTTTTTTGTTTAGCAAACTACACTTTGCTAAACAACTTTGACAGTTCGTAGCGATCTAAGGAGTTTACAAGTTCGTTTAAGTGAGAAAAAAGTGTTTTATGAGCTTAAGATTGGTGAATCTTGTTCAATTCAGTTCTTAGAACAATTAAAATTTTTATCTAAATATGTTTAAAAGTCATAAAGATTATTGTATAACCTAAAACTACGCTATCGTCCTTTCTCACTCGAGGCTACGCTAATCGTTAGTCTGTAGGTTTCTCTGTCTACGCGTTTTACACAACTTTAGTTGTGAGTATAAATAGCAACAGTGTGGGAACGAGAGGTGAATAGTGGCAACGCCATTTTCAATCCCGTGCTTTAACCGCACGAGTAGTATAAACTTTAAATTACATAGTTATTAGTGATTTACTACTTCATTTTAGAGAATTCAAATTACAATATTAAAAATACTATAATAAAAAAGAACTAAAAACTGACACGGTACAGTGCCGAGAATGTTGGCTGCGTTTCTTCTCTGAATGGCTATACTTAGACTGTGAGCGAAAAAATAAGCAGCCTTCATGTCATAATTTTTAGAAACTTTGTCGAACGTGAACTACCACGGACCGATAGTCTCTACAGCAAATGGTACAAATATATACTCATCTCTCTGCCAGGCTAGTATGAGCAAGAGACAATATAATCACGGGGAAAGGATAAAATTTTTATCCCTTGCTCAGTTTTATCCACCCTGCGAGCCTGGGCAGGAGACAAAAATTACATCTCCCGATTATATCCACTGACAAGAGACAAAATTATCTTATCCCTATGGTATATTCCCGTTTGACATAACGAGTAGACATATATCTCCCCGTCCGTAGCGTGGGGCCAAGGAAAGAGAAAAAATTATCCCTTTTTGACATTTTAAGGGACGGTTTTATCCTCGTTCATGGAAGTGGGTTTAAGTTTATCTTCAAGCCATTTGAAAAAAAAGATGTTTCGAGCCTATTGCAGCTTCATTTTCATATCAGAAATTGAAAAACAAGAAAGAAAATTACATCGGCGATCGATACGTGATCAGAGTACTTAATAATTAAAATAGGATAATAAAAAAGTGGACCTTATAGCTATTCTAAATCTAATATGTAAAATTAACAACTTGCAGAGATTTTCTATCAAATTTAGAATATAAGGTTGGGCATAAAATAAATTTAAGAGAAGAAGAAAAAATGTAAAATGGATATAAAATATAAATCATGTTCATAACTATTAAAGTGAACGACAATTTCATTTTTTTGAGCTAGACTTTTTGAGTTTTTGACTAATCGAGCGCCACACGCGATTTACTGTTTTGCTAATAGGAGAAAAAACGGATTTTCACTTGAAAAATCACTAAAACTGTTTGCGGCTAAAAAATTACACCAATAATACGCAAATTTTGACACTAAGAACACTGAAATC